TCCCATAACACCTTTGTCCCCTTCTATTCATGTCCAACACATTAATTTGGGATGGCTCCTTTAATCCTCAAACGCTGCAAGCATCTGCTGGAGGAGTTCTCCGCAATCACCGAGGACAGTGGATCAGATGTCCACTATCTGCTTTACTGCTTTAGAATCTGAACTAAGAGCCCTCCTCTTGGGTCTCCAGATTGCTAATGACTTACTTCTTCTATCCTTAAAGATTGAAATACTTATCTCCATGATCCGCAATGAGAATAATATACTCACATCTTATGTTTGATTGCAGGACCTTACTCCACCAGCTCCGGACAGTCACACTTGACCACATCTACCGGGTGGCAAACGGTGTAGCAGACACATTGACAAAACTTGGCATGCTCCTAACTCCTTCTGAAGGCCAATTGCAGTGGAGTCTCGTACATTTTTTGAATGCTTTCAATAAGGACTATTCAGACGTTATTGTACCACGAATGGTCCCCCTTTCTAAAACTATTACTGTTTTACTTTTAATATAACCGTATCCTTATTAGAAAAAAAAGAAAAGGAAAGCAAACTTATAAGGTTAAAATATGTTTTTCTTTAACAGTTCAAAAAATTGCAGTCCCAAACCATAATAGGAAATAATTACAGCACTACAATGTTTAAGATGAATAAGATCCTTCCATTTTTATTTAGCTGTATGAGTTTGAACTTTGAAATTAGGAAATTCCTAATAAAGAATATTTTCCCTTTAATGTATGTTACACGACTTGAACATGGATCAATACGTTACACATTCAGCTACTCTCTTAAAAAATACTTTATGCACTACGGGTTTGCACTAAATGAAGCAATTTAAGTTTAATAGTCAAGAGAATATATAATATAGATCATTTTTCGATTTGTGTGTGTCATCGGGGACATGCTAATCTTCTTTGTATCGTTTTTTATCGAATGTCCCAGAAGGGATAGAATATATAATATTAGTTAATCATAAGTGATAAAAATTTACATAAACGACACATTTTTATATTTGTTTGCTTAATATAAATATTTGGTGTGGATAAATATTTTCGGTTAAGCGGCATCTAAAGTCTTTTTCTCTTGCATAGGTAGTATTGAAATTGTTCATAATATTCCTTACTCCATTACTTAGTGAATTGCATGCTATTGCCTAACAGTGAAGCAAAGTAATTTTTCTTGTATAAAAGAGAATGATCTTGCAAAATCCATGGAATAAGCAAATTTAGTATTGCCACTTTTTTTATCGCATTCAAAGCAGTCATAAGAAGTTTGTTCAACTCTTTGCCCTCGTAAACAATGACATGAACAATGTCTTCATGTTTTTGGACAAACATTGTGGTGTATTTCTATCATTTTTCACCTAACCTTTTATCTGAAAACTTATCTTTTTTGAAAAATTCCGAGGGAAACCCGGAGCTACTATCCTTCGGGTGCACATTAGATAACTTGTTCATTATGCAATAGTTCGCAAACCACACAAGAGATGTAAATTGCACTAAACAAGCCCGATACAATGAACTCTGACTAAGAAAGTTGTTGGTGAGGTGCAACTCACTTTCCTCATCTAGCAATTAGGTACCTTGTTAAAATGGAGGTGTCACACTCATTCTATCCACATCTTGACTATTTCACCGAATACATATTACTTATGTGTGTCAAAATTTAGGCCGATATAAATAAATCATCTAATAAGTGTTTTGTCTCTGTTAATTTGAACACTGATCTTTATCGTTTGCACTCACTTTATTGACCAATAACCACATCTTTGATGCTTCTCCGGCAATTAGGTATTAACATCTCATTGCGTTTTAAAGTGGAGTATCAAACTTGCCAATGGCCTAATTCTTCCAAACTAAGGCCAACAAAATCCTTTTAGTTTGACAAGGATGCTTCCTATTACATATTTCTGTGCATGTGAACCGGATTGTTTAACCAAAGATGCAAAAGTGGATACACATTTTTTCCAATGGTTTCATTTTTTCTCCTTTGCCAAACCTTTCTATTACACAAATGGTATTCTACATCTTCGCACTTCCTCATTATACCAAAAACTGAAAATCAAAATGTAATGAAAGTCCTGAATCCACTTTTTGACCAAGATTTTGCGAGACATATTTATAAGTTTCACATTCATGATAGTTTACTCTATGAAGAGCTTAATTGAAGAAAAGGCTCACCTAAAATTGTGTTTTTTTTTTTTTTTTTTTTTTTTTGGAGAGATGCTCATTGTATTGCGGTTTAAAATCAACAAATTTTAAATGATTAAAATGAAATAGGACCTTTTAACTAATTACATTACTTTTTATGTCCATGACAGTTTCAGTCCAACTCGACTGCCGAGTAACATGCATCGAGAATTTACAGATGCATGTGTCAGCTACATTGGGTATGTTGTTTGTATTGACATCTTTCTCTGGGGTAAAAGTTCTTTTTTTTTTTTTTTTTTTTTTTTTTTTAGCAAGAAACACCTTTTTTTCAAAAATTGAGGTGTTTGTTCAAGCTTTTGAAAGGAAAAAAATTGATTTTGAAGAGAAGCGGAAGCAGTTTTGGAGAAGCAGAAAAAAATAGTTTCTCTTCAAAAGCACTCTTAAGTAAAATACATTTACAAATAATTTTTAAAAGCTTGGCCAAACACTAATTACTGCTCAGAAATTATTTTTAAATTAATTAGCCAAACAAACTACTTCTCACCAAAAGTATTTTTGAGAAAAACACTTCTCAAAATAAGCTGATTTTTGCAGCTTGGCCAAACATGCTATAAATGTGTCCAACACTTCCGTTGATGAGTGTATGGACGAAAACTTCATTTTATATATTTGACCTAGTCAACGGTAATAAAACCTTTGATGGTTGTGATGTGTCGACATGACTCTCAAAGGTCGAGGTCAGAGGTGAAAGACAAAACGGTACCGAGGTCGAACCAGCTTGGCAGAAAACGAGGACGAGCATCCACCCTCAGCACGAAGTGATGACCAACTTTAGAATGTAGATTCCCTGTATATTCTCTTCTGTTGTACTATCTAGGATATTATCGCCTATGTGCTTTTATAAATAGGAATAGATGTAAATCAGAGGGGGATTGGACGTTTTGTAAAGAATTTCATCAACTTTGTATGTACAAATTTCTCACTTTATTAAATAGAAACAAAGTAAGACTTTTCACTGCCCTTCTTTTATCCCTCTCCCGATCCAAGAAGGATCAGAATATACGATTGTTATCCCCATCCATCTTTATTAGAGAGATATCTGGGATTATCATTGTCGGGTTATCTTTGTCTCATCTATTATTTGAAAGTCATCTATTATTGCTTTACTATTATCCCAAGTTGTCTTCTTTTATGCTGTATGTTAAATACTCACTGTAGTAAACTAGATCTATCATTGAATATTAATATTAATTGTATATTTTTCAACAAATTTAATTGTATAAAATCAAAATCTATTTTTTGGGTCATACAATGAGTTTTTTTTGTCGTGAGGTTTTTCTCTTATCCTCAACCACAATCACCATTGGTGTTTGATACGGTTGGAAAATATCAATATTTAGAGTGAGTAACGGATGATTAAATTTAATATCATAATCCTAGTTTATATCTAAACTTTCATAAACACTGTCACTTCAATATTAATTTCTCACTAATTCAATAATCATAAATATATATAATGTCAATTCTCTCTAAAACACTCTCATTAATCCGATACTTTTTTTTGCTTTTATAGTTAATGACTATTATACACCTATAACAATATTTGACGTTTAAATATATTTTGACTGTTATAGATAAAAATTATCCAAAAATTAATTAAATATTTCATACTCATTCTCCCATATTACTCTAAAAATTTGACTAAACTCGTAACATTAAACAAATTTCTCTCACTGAGGGCATCTCCAACCCTCCCAAATGCAGTCTTTTTAAACCAAAATGTGACTCCAATGCTCCCCATTTTGGCCCCCAAAATGGGGGATGAATAGTGTTACTCCAAATTTGGAGTGACACTCTTCGTCCTTACTTTATTATTATTTTTATTATTTAACTATTTTAATTTATCTCTTTATATATACCTAATTATGTTTATGTAATATATTTATAATATTAATTTAACATCTTAACTTTGGCGTATAATTTTGATAAATTAATTTTCGTGCATTTATTATTTTTATGTAAAATTGTAAGTTAATTTTATTATAAGTTATTTTTATGTAAATTAATTTCATTTATGGGAGCATACTAGAGGTGGAAGTTGAATATTTATGTAATATTAAATCTGAATTTTACCATAATGTAATATGTATTTAATTATCTTGTATCTCAATGATTTCACTTTTATTTGAATTATCCATTAATATATATAATCTATAATATTTACTTACAAATTATATTATTTAAAAATTTATGGTATAAAATAATTTTATATTAAATTATATGTGATGAATATGTAAAAAAACCAAATAGAATTTCTTTAATAGAAATAAGAAAATAAAATTTAAATAAAATATAATAATATAATATTGAAGAAAAGAATAATATAAAATGGAATATTCTTTTTTGGAGTAAAAAATTGAGTAATGATTGGAGTAACTTTACTCTATTTTGAAAGAGAAAATGGAGGTAAGGGTTGGAGATGGCCTGAGACGAAGATAACAATGTATAAGAAGTTGGAGTGACAACAAAAAATAATGAAACTCTTGACCGGGGGCGTAGGCACCTTGCCGTGACATTGCTTTCGTCAAATTTTTATATTAAATATATACGGTTAAATAATAAGAAAGATAAAAATACGAGATTAGAATATACAGATAACATATTTATTTATTTATTCAATTTTTCAAACGGTGAAACCGCTTATAAAATTTTCTAGGTACGTTAGTGCCCTTGACCCCTTAATCGTAGGTCTTAGGTTTGAACTCGTGACTGAAAAATCTGTAGTAGAAAGAGCTTATCGACTTCTCGGTGCGAATTTAGATTAACTAAGTCACTAAATTTCAAAACAAAAATATTGTAAAATTTAAGAGATGAACAAGTTCTTTTTATTAAAGTTGACAACAAAGACATTTGTATCAGGGATCACTAAAATTTTCCCATTATAATTACCCAAAAAAAAAATCACAAATTGAAATTTTCCAACAATTAAAAAAAAAAAACTCATTTTTCTTCGTCATCTTCGCTGTCCTCAGCCTGCACTTTGCTAGTACTATTATTATTAAAATGACTAGTATTTGTTATCTTCCTCGACGACGTCGTTTCAACAAAGGTAGCAGAGCTCATTTCCATTTGACAAACTCTCACCGCCCCGAACAACTTTTCCGGCAACTCCTCCTCCGCTGTCGCCTCCACACAAAACCCCATATCGATCGTCACTGACGTTACGTATCCTAAAGCCAAATGCAAAATCGCATTCGCAATCGCCGAGCTACTAATATCCACGTCGATTTCTAAGTAATTATCTCCCTTGTGATAATAGCAATTTAAAGCTTTGCCTAGTATACACGCCGAGTAATTCCCCACCGCGGTTTTCACAATCCACGGTCCTTGAACGATCCGGTTCACTATTTTAAATCGGGCGTTACGGTACGAGTCGTCTCCGTGAACGAATCGGTAGAGGAGCGAACCGGGTTCAAGGGCGCGGTTTTCCTTGGTAGCAAAGTAGAAAACAGCGCTGTGGTGGTCCTTACCGGGGATTTGAAGATTGACGGCGAGTACGAAGGTTTTTAAGCACGCGCCTTGTGAGTGAGATTTCTTCAGCGCTTGCATCACGAGGTTGTCGCTACGCGCGAGGACGTGGTCGAGTTTTGAGCTAGACCTCAGCCAATCGACTCCCGCGGGCTGTAACAGCCACTCACCTGAGGGTATTTTTGTCTTTTTAGTGAAGTAATTTGGGGCGCGGAGCTTGAAAAGATCTCCGGGTGGTGACGCCCACCCGTTTGCTCCGTTATTCAAATCGACCCGCTTTAATGACCCGCCAGAGATTGCTTCTTCTATCCAATCTTTATTGAGCTTTTGCTTTGTCGAGCACATTTTTTCTAAAAAATACTTGAATTCTTCGGACTATAAAATGGAAAAAAATATTCTTTCTATACAAAACTTCCTTTTTCTTCCTTCTATATGATCATCAGAAATTGGATTATAGAAGTAAGGGTCAATGTTGGGAGAAGAAATGGAGGAGCTCCGGGGCTATGGGTGTAATATATTGAAATGCGGGGCGTGGGGGGGATTTTATATAGTATGTGAGAATGGGATAACACACGTGCCCTTGAGTTTCCTGGAAATTACCAAAGAGCCCCTTTTGGGTTTCACAGCTAATAGTGACAGTGTGAACTGCCAAATACTTTTTTTAATTATCAGATTTTCGAAATTTGTAAGTCCACTAGTAGTTTGTTTGGCCAAAAGTATGTTCTTTACCTAAAAATTTTTTTATAAAAAGTTACTGTGTTTGGTCAAGTTTTTCGAAGAAAAAAATAATAATTTTGAATAGAAGCAGAACCAAAATTTTAAAAGTAGAACAAAATAGATTCTTCTTAAAAATAAATTTTTGAAAAATAATTGTGATAAAAATATACTTAGAATTATTTTTTAAAAGTTTAGTCAAACATTAATTACTGTTCAAAAATATTTTTTAAATTAATTGGTCAAATCCAAACTACTTATTACTAAAAGTATATTTTTAAAAAATACTTTTAAGAAAAATACATTTCAAAATAAGCTAATTTTAGAACTTTGGCCAAATAGGTTATAGTTCAGATTTGTATCAAATTACCAGAGAAGCACTTCTCTCCATGAATTTTTTATTTTTAAGCTAAAATTAAAAAATCTAATTAAGGATAGAAGGATCTTATTTATTGTTATCTCCGTTCTAGTTTATGTGAACCTATTTCCTTTTTAGTCTGTTCCAAAAAGAATCACCCCTTTCTAAATTTGGAAACAATTTTGGTTAAACTTACAATTCTACCCCTAATGAGAAGCTTTTATAATCACACAAATACTTGGGTCCCTTTTTGAATTGTTTAAGACCACAAATTTCAAAAGTCTTTATTTTTTCTTAAACTTCGTGCCCAGTCAAATAGGTTCACATAAATTGGAACGGAGCGAGTATATCATATTCTCGGTAAAAGAAGGCATGTGAACTCACAAATAGCAAAGAAGGAGGAAATATCCAAACTCTTGAATTTGGATTCTTCTTCTTTATGTTTCCTTCATGAAAATTTCTCACCAAAAGAATTATTTACACACTTTCGAATTTTCATTTTTCAATATAGCTAACAAGTAATACTCCAATATTCTAGTATTTATAAATTCTGAAGCTCAATATTTGTAAAAATATTGCTTTGACTATTAGTTTCTGTAAATACTTAATTAATTCAAGTACTGGAAAATTATTAAAACTAGTTCAAGGAGTATTTCAAGTGAATTAATGGATTTTAATCACAGATTTTTAAATTTTTTAAAACTGAAATTCATGTATTCAGCTGGAATTTTCTAAACATATTTTAAATACTGATATTATGAACATAAAGGCATTTGTGATGTAAAGAATCCATCTTTAGTCTCTTATGAAATTGACTTCTACCAACATTTTTATTTCTCCACTTTATCGCAATCGATCAAAGCCTACTTGTGAGAATATACTGGGTATATTAATTCAGAGACGGATCCAGGATTTGAAGTTTATGGGTTCCTATTGTAATCTCAAATTAATATACAATAATAATTGTGTTCACAATTATATATTTATAGACATTTAATGGATTTTTTAATAAAAATACAGGGTCTCCGCAAAAGTTACTGGGTTTCCGGGAACCCAGTAACTATACTCTACATCCACCACTATATATTATTGTTGTTTTTATTGTTTATCACAACTAAAATTGGCAAAGGAACTATGGAAGGGCAAGTGCATATATAGCTATTCTCAGAGATGTTATTTAGAGATTAATTAGTACTTATTTTGTCCTGAAATTTTAAATTAAAAATCCTAACTTCAAGACAATTCAAGATATTTTTGTCCTGAAAAATTAAACTAGAAAACTGAAATTCAGAACGCAATGGCTAATTCCTAAATAGCAGCTCTGGCTACGTGGTGTCATTTCTACAACTAACTATTGAGCTCTAGGATAAAACATATTAACATGCGTTCAGTGAGCAGTATTATTCGACATTTGTATTTGTGAGAGATATTAAGTATGTACTTGATGAAATAATATATATTATAGAGGTGTGCGTAAACTCGCTCTGTCTCGCTTAGGCCTTACCTGGCCTCGCTCCATTTAAGCATGTCCTCCCCTACAAACAACTACGATTTGGATTGTTTGAGATACATTTCACTTTTCAATACGCATTAGGGATACCTCAATGCTACTTGCCACTTTATTTTAGACGAATTTTCATAAACCATTTACTAATTATTAATTTCATATAACTACCATATATATAATTATTTCCTATAGCTGCTATTCAATTGTTACGGTAGTGTATTCACATGTATTCGCGCTGCTGTATTCATCAATACAGCAGCAAAAAACGCCTAAAATCATGGCAGTCCAACTGTATGCGCATGTATTCACATGTATTCGTATTGTTGTATTCATGAATACAACAGTAAAAAGCGCCTAAAATCAGGGCAGTCCAGCTGTACGCGCATGTATTCACATATATTCGCGCCATGTATTCATGAATACAGTAGCAAAAAATGCCTAAAATCTGGGCAGTCCAGCTGTACGCGCATGTATTCACATGTATTCGCGCTGCTGTATTCATGAATACAGTTGTACGCGTATGTTTTCACATGTATCTGCGCCATGTATTCATGAATACAGTAACGGCAATCCCTTAAAAATAGGTATGTCCAGCTGTCTAAGAGAAAAAAAAAACATAAATAGCGTATTTCATGCATCAATGGTAGTATATACCATAAAATACTTATTTTGCTATAAAATGTAAAAGGTAGTTATATAAAATAATATTTTAAAATAATTTTAGTTTATAATAAATAGGATGTATACCTTTGCTATAGGAGGTAAAATTTCATTTATTTTATTGCACGTACCAAAAAGGCCATGGACTTGGAGTTATTTGCTTGCATTAATTTTAAGCGCAATGATCACTTTTTTGCTGCTGAAACTATTATATTCGGTAGTCGCAAAAATATATAAAAAGTTTAAACCGTAGATATGATTTTTGTGAATCAAACTGCTAGGTAAAAAAATTGATCTGTTGAAAAATTAAAGAAAGCATCTTGTGGAATCCAGTTGTAGAGAATATCTTTTTGAAATGAACTGTCATTATCCTAAAGTGGGAGGAATCTGAATCAATGCTTTTACCAACTTCTATTCATCTATTTTGTTCAATTATTTGGATTTTGGAAGAATACATGTAGATAAGAAAACAATAATTTGTCTATGAAATCTTTGTGTTTTATTTTTGTGTATTCATTGGCTTGGTTATGAATGCTTTGTCTTTATTTTAGTAATTGCTGTAATTCAATTATTTGCTCTTTTAGAAACGTTGTTGTTTCTAGGTTGTAATTCGTTGGACTATGATTTGATAGATATGGGCTGGCACTCGTGGGGACGATTATTTTAGTTTCAGGTAGTTTATACATTTTTTTTTCTAAAGACAAATTTTGTTTTTTGTTTTTGAAAAACAAAATAAAGAAATTTTTGCACCAGTTGATACTATGTAAATACTGTAAAAAACTCTTTGTGGCAGCATGGATTCTTCTTATTTCCGATACCGAAAGGTGAGTGTCAACTCATATCAATATTCTTCTTTTAGCTTCTTTCTAAACCGTAGGAAAACTTTTGTACATGAAAGGTCGTTTGCTTAGGAAACAAGTTATTCTAGAATTAATTATTTCGGAATTAATTATTAATTTTGAAATTGTTATCACATTCTTTTATAGAGATAAAAATAATAGTATAATTTCGGATAACTAATCCAGAGATTAGTTATATTTATCTCAACCAAATGTGGATAAACTTATCTCAAATTTAATCACGAGATTAATTATCTCTTATTCCTCGTTGTACGAAAGAATTTTTTCTTATTTAGTTGGTTTAAATATTTGGAAAATATTTTTCTCATGAACTTATTTTCCTCCAATTCGAGAAAAATGACTTCCTTACCAAAAGAAGAAAAAATATTTTCCAAAACTCTCTTTCAACTTTCACCTCTTACCCCTGCCCACCCCATCACCCATTCAATCCCCCACCCCACCTCCGCTACCCCCACCACTTATCTCACATAATCCCTATCCTAGCTCGCCACTATCACCCCAGCCCCTAGACCCCAACCGACCACCCTCCTCCGTTCTTATCCATTTCGTCTGCATAATATTTGTCTAAATTATATATTTTCAAAACATATTTTATGTTATCTAACCAAACAACAAAAAATAAATAAGAAAATCACTTATTTTTTAAAAACAAAAATTCTAGAAAAATATTTTCATTCATTCCAGACGCACCTTAAGTATTATCTCTGAAGTGTATGTTAGTATTTTTCATTCTTTATTTCCAACTAACCACTCTTGACCCACCATTACGAATATGCATTTGCATGATTAAGTGGAGGGGACGCTAATTATGGGTAGGATGCAATGGTTGGCAGTTCATGTGGTGGTCGGCACCCAAGGCAGCTTGAACAAACCTCAACAATAATATTGATTATTTTATCGGATTTTTGTTATCTTTTACCGATATAGGTATTGGATAGTTTTACCCACCACTTAGATGAATGGAAGGAAATCACCTCTCCCTTGGTTTTAATTGTTTACAACGGCAAACAAGTTTTTCTTTGAATGCACTTTTTCCGGAACATTTAATTTATTTAAAAAGAGTATTAATGATTGAAGAAAATAATAATATAATTTCTTGAAAGGAACACACAGTGCTCGTAATTTAAATATTAGTTGTTGTATACGGGTAAGGGCCGAGCCCGTTGCATGACTCGACCTCCCGGTGAGCCAAGCGGAGCGGGAAGATGACCGTAACGGATCGGAGTCGGAACGAAGAACCCCTCGTATCAGAGCTCGGGCAAACACCTACCTCCGGGGATATCGGGGCTATATACTCGAGGTCCGATTTAAGGGTTGAGACTTCGGAGAGTATCACCGAACAGCTGCACACGACTAACAAAGGGTTGTGGTATCCGTACCCAACCGGATATCACGG